TCAGCTACGCGCTTCTGGTCCGTAGCTGCAGGATGGAAACTTAAATGTACACATTATGTGGTTAAATCCTGAGATTCTGGTGCGATATGGGGGGAATTAATGCTGCCAGCTCCCACTGTTCGTTGTGCAAGCCTAAAACCTCAGCTTCTGAACCCAGAGACTGTGTGAAACTGCCGACACAGAGGAAGGCAGAGAAAATGTATTTATTGTCTCTGGGATGGGGAAGGAAAGGTTTGGAAAAAACATGACTCTGAAGTTACATATCCTGAATGAAAATAAACCCAGTACACAACTTTATTATGAATGAATTGTAAAGTGCTCTTGCTTTATCTGAAGGGGCTTTAAACTCCTGTGAGAGGAACCCGCCACCTCCTCCTTGGTCACCAGCCACAAGCATCTTTCTGAGGACTCTTACTTCCTTCAGACTCAACACTTCTTGGTAATAAGCCATAATTTCCCTTGCCCATGGAGCACCCTGAGTAACGAGGCCTTCTCTCTCTCTTTGCGCAGGAGCAGCATCAAGTGGGATTGTCTCGGACCACGGGCCCTATGCAGCCTTCTGTCCCAGCGGGCTCCAGCAGTGTGGTCACAGGCACGAGCTCCGGGGGTCCCTTTCTGGGAAACCAGTCACAAGCAGCCCTCATGAAGCAGATGCTGATTGAGCAGAGAGCCCAGCTGCACGTGATAGAGCAGCAGAAACAGTTTCTCCGAGAGCAAAGGCAGCAGCAGCAGCAGATCCTCGCGGAGCAGGTACAGTCTCTGTCTGTCTCAGGCGCTGCAGTGCCTGCTGGGATGAGAGCATGAGCACTAGAGACAGTGCAAAACCAGCCCTTCCTTTTATATTTGGTAATTCTCTCTCTGTGGCTCACATCGTGGTATTTCAGCAATGGTTAATCAAAGAAGAGGCATCTGTCTCAGTCTTACCATTAGCTTGGCAAATATTACCCAGCAGTGAACTTGACAGTCGCGTGGGGTTTTAGACACTGGGAAAGTTAGCTCTTATCCCATTATATCATGGTACATTTACTCCGGCAGAAGCAGACTCTGCTACAGTGACAGTTGCTGGTGCTCTTCCCTACCTCTGACTATGGGTGTTGCACTACCAAAAGCTGTGTACAGCTGTGCAGTGATCTGGGACAAAAAATTTACATAGGTTAAAAGTAACCTAAAAGTTAGTATTTACATAAATGAGTTCCTTAATCTAATTTATTACATAATAGCATGAGCAATTATGTTAGTAGAAGGGAGATGCAGCATCAAGGAGGGAACCAGAGGCTGAAGTGGAAAACAGTTAAAACCACCTCTCACAGTGGCTGTGTGGAACTGCTGCATTGGAGCCTGTCACCTGGAGCTCTCAGGCTTTGCAACACTGATGTTAATTTAACTGGTCTGAATGGGAATGTCATAAAAGCAGCCCAGGAGAAAGTCAGTGGAAAGTCATACTTTTCAGGTCCTGTGAACTCATACCTAAATTTAAACTTGCAGTCCCCTTATGTTACCTAGAAAATGTTCTGATAGGTCAGTAGTTGCTTTGAGCTCAGTTTCTACTCTCTCGTGTGAGAAACACAGTTTAAGACCTGGGATCTCCTTTAGCTTGTGTTAGAACTTGTGCATGTTGTATAACTACTGAAATACTGATAGCCTTCCCCTCTTCTTATGGTCCTCCTGAGAAACAGAGAAATTTACCCCCAATGAACAGGAAGGAAGTTCCTTGAAATGCTCAGGAAAAAGATGCATGAGTTGGTTCAGAGGTGAACAAGTGCAGAAGAGTGAGGATGCAGTAATGTTCCCCCGTTGTGGATTAGGCCAATTCAAGTGCATAAACCCAAGAGCCAGTCACTGATTTGGGTGCTGAAGGCAAGCCTGAAAGTGTTGAAAAACCACAAGACTGTGGCTGTCAAATGTGCGGAGACAGATGAAAAGTGACCAAGTCACAGTCCTCAGGCTCCTAGCTTTTGGGTGTTTTATGCCTAAAAAGGTTCTCTTTATCTTTTTGACAGTTTGTAACACCTATTTGTGAGTATAGGGATTAGTACTTGTTTCTTTCGCATCTTTGCCATTTTCTTGCCTTTATTACACATCTTTGTTTTTGGATACAGCATTCGTACAGCTGCAGAGGAAGCACCAAGATACATCCTTTTAGTAATTGCTTAGTCAAGTATACCCTAGGCTTTGAAACTTCTGGTAAACACATTCTGATTCTATAATCAGCCCTTGATTTTGTTTTAGGTGCATGAGTACTCATAGAAAATAACCACAGAGGAGCTGTGTGGGTTGGATCAAGGGAGGGAGGCATTTCACAATCACCTGTTCCCCAAATATCATTCACTGAAGCACAAGAGGAAATGCATCTTAGTAGCCATTTCTGTTTTGGCTAGAGAATGGTCCTAGGCCGCGGTGCTCAGGTCAGGTCGTCCTTGCAGACGAGTGTTTTGAGTACAGAGGTGGAGGGAGGTCTTGTACCAGGAACACAAACCCCTTGGCAGGGCTGGGGGAAGGAAAGGGTGTGTGGCTGCACTTGCCCTTAGACCTAGGTGTGCAAAGTTATTTTATATCCCTCCCTCTCCTTTCAGCCTGAAGACAGAGGTCGAGATTAAGTGGTTATAAGTTAAGGAGAGATGATGTTAGCCTCAGTGCTTATTCCTTAACCAAAAGGACTCCGCGTTCTGAGTAGCCCGAGTGCTCTCAGGAGGACTCTTCAAATGACTCAGCTTGTCTCTCCTGAACAGCTTGCTAGATAAGAAATGCTGCAGTTCTGCAGCAGTACTTTTGCCACCAGCCCCTTTCTCAGCTCACTAATTAATTAATCATCTTTTTCTCTTCTACTTTCTTTTCCTCGTTCGTTTTCAGCAGTTGCAGCAGCAGTCACATTTGCCTCGGCAGCATCTGCAGCAACAGCGGAGCCCATATCCAGTGCAACAGGTCAATCAGTTCCAAGGTAAAAGTCAAATTCTTTCCTATATTGGAGTCATTGTGTGCCCCTGCAGCGGGCACATGAAAGTTCATGTGTTTGTGAAGACCAGGGTTTAAGCAGTGTGCTAGAATAGGAAGTCAAGTTGTTGCATGCTTGCACATACCAGATATTTTAACAAAAGGGAATGCCCAGGTTTGTAAATTATTTATGTTTCTAATTTCCTTTCTGCCCCCTTCAGCAAAGGCTGCATTTTTTTATTTGACTTTTTTTTGCCTCTTTGACATCTGGATTCTGTGGATTATCTTGCTTGCCTCCACTCTCGTTATACATTTTTTTTTTCCAGCTAGTGTCTCTCACTGTATCTTGGTTTTACTTGTCTTCATTCCCCACTTAATCTAAATTGACGAGGAGGGAATTTCAGAGAGGTCGTCTTTATCTGCAGGAGTGTCTGATAAATGTCAGGTGCGAGAAACAGTGAAATATGTGAGATGTAAATACAGATTTTTTTAATGATCTCAAAAAAAGCAGGTATTTGAATGTGCTCGCAAATAGCTGAAGAATGTAAGTACAATCTTTTTGGCTTATGAAAATAAGTTAATTCTGAGCTTTTCAGGTGCAAAGCATCAGCTGAATGTCTTCACTAACCATTGTTTCTAAATAGACATGAAACAAACATGCAATTGCACTGCATATTCATGATAGCATTGTGTAACTGCAACAGAAAACAAGGCAGGCAAGCGTATTGCAGTTCTTGTACCCAGAAAGTGAACAGGTCACCACATCTTCTGCTGGTATATCAGAGTGGCTCCTTCTAATTGCCTTCTCATTCCTATCTTTGGCAGCATAAATTTTGCATGAAATTATTTTTCCCCCAGTAAATTCATTTGCAAAATCAAAATGTGTGTGTGTGCACCGCCTCGCATTACTTAAGACATGCATGTAAAATTTTTATACATTAATGCTTCCTCGAAACCTTGCCAGCATATGTAGTAGTTAAAAGAAATGCAGAAGAGAGTTTAGGCTAATTTGACAGAGCAAATTTAAATATAAGTATTTCATCATTTTCCCTACTTAGTCACAAGACTATAATCCAGTGCAGTAGGTTATGTTTAAGTGAGACCAGAAGGTGTCCCAAAATCTTAAAATCTGTTGCATCCCTTTTTTAACTACATCTTGTCTGAACTCCTGCCTCTTATGCCAAGCACGGTAGTACACAGAAGTAGTAACGTGAACCACTTGCTGGTATTGACTCCTTTGGAGGTTTTCAACTGCTGTTTTCAAATAAAAGATACCTTAGGATGCTTTAAGTAAATTTTTAACATTATCTGTATCTTAAGCACTTGTTGGAGTCATTGTAAAAAGACACTGCTTCTTATAATGGAAGGAGGAGGTGATCTAAATTAAGAAAAATCATGGGGAGCCCAGTGCTAAGCAATAAGAAAATGGTTTAATTGATAGCATAGATAAAATAAAAGCTGCCACTATATTTGCCCTGTGCAAGTGCGATCCAGATGGTCTTTCTTCATGCTACTAAATGTTTCATTTATCTATATGTTGAAGCTAAAAGCATCCTCCAGAATCTTATCCTGCTGCAGCAGAAAAGGAGACGTAGCCATCCTCTGCATCATTTGTGCAAACCTATAGAAATGACACTTCCTTTATTCATATATATTTCTTGTGGAAACCAAGCCAGTGTAAATGGCAGGGCCCAGTATTCTTTATTCTCCACGGATGTTCAGGTGTGTTGTCTGCCACTGGGGGACAATAAGTAGGGGCTAATTTAAGTACATTCCGATTTTGTTGTATAGTTCATGGCTTTTAAAGCAACCTTTTTTATGTTTGCATCTTGCATTTAATAATGTTTGAGCCAGGAGTAGTTGTGCGCCTCATACTCTTGGAGCTTCACCTGCAGAGTATTTAATTTAGTTCAGTATGGTAGTGACTCTAAACCACCCATGGCATAATCAGAGCTCCAGAAATTGTTTTTAAATAAAGATAGTAAATACAGAAGCATATTGGCTTCCTAGAAATCGATAGCTCCCCCCACCCCACCCCTGAAAGGAAGGCACAAGCATATCTGCCACGGTGTGGAATTTAACAAGGTTAGGATTTTCTGGTTTCCCATCACTGGCCTAAGGTGGAGTAAAATGTGCTTATAGTATTGATTCACTAATACACTCTCCCTGCTTTAAATGTCCACAAAAAACAATTTTTCTTCTTTCCATAGACTTAATCAGTAACAATGATATAGAAAATCCATTAATTTATGCCTCCTGAGCTATTAAAAAATTGATTGGCCTTCTGAGCCTGACATTTCCATTTTCAAGGCTTACTTTTGAAAGACAATGGAGATATTTAAAAGAGGGTTTCAGATGGTTAACTGAAGTTCAGTTGCTTTGCTGCCATGGAAGAAGGCCAGTGGAAGCTTTCTCATTCGCTTGCTAGAAGCTGAACTAGGCTTATCTGAAGAAGATACATGCTACTGAATCACAGTGCTTATGCAACTCTGAAGTCTTAGGGACTAGTTTTTAATGGAGGAGGGTGCGCATTGTCACTAGCCATGTGGGAAAAATTACACACAAAAACATAGGCTCACATTTACTTTTGAAAGAGGACTTTGACTGTCAGGCCACGTCTTAAAAATTTAATCTCTGGTCCTAGCGAAGTAACGGAAAGGCAGGCCTGTTTTAGCCCTGCAGCTCCCGTTGTCTGTGTAGCTTAGGTACCCAAGTAGGTTATTATCGGGTCACATAGTTGTAATCATGCATCATGCATGCAACTGTGTTGCCTCAATTCTTCAAGAATCTGAAGCCATGAATCCCTTTGGATACACATCCCAAAATCATCATAACTGAGAGTTACTTTGTTAATCATTGGCCTTTCAACCTTGGCAGCTTCATTTTAGGCCTTAAGGGAAATCAGGCTGCTCATCCATATCGATGGTATTCTCCGCCGAACAGTGTCTCGCTTCACAAATTGAATACATAACATGATCAGCAATTGCTGTTCAGGTGAGCTGTGTTGACTCTCACCTTCAAGGAGAGGGAACCTGGGAGGTCAGCACAGAGGCTGCAGTGAGAGTGACGTGGGGAACACATGATCTCTGAAATGCAACTAACGTTAGGCTGCAAGCACATCTCCCAGGGATGGATAACCTAGCTCTCTGCTAACCTTCACATGAAACAATAATTTATTCACTCGGAAAGCACAGCAATCTGAAATCCTACTGTGAGGCAGAAGGCTCCTACAGATTCTCTCTTGTGCAAAGATGTGTTAATTAAGATGTACAAGGTTGTGGTTTTTTATTACCTTTTTCCCTTCTTCGTGTAGGTTCTCCCCAGGATATAGCAGCTGTGAGAAACCAAGCAGCGCTTCAGAGCATGAGGACATCCCGAATGATGGCCCAGAACGCGAGCATGATGGCAATGGGTCCCTCGCAGAACCCGAGCACACTGCCCACGACCGCAGGCCAGTCAGACATGGGCATGGCTCCATACAGCAACGCCTCTTCCAGCCAGCCGGGAATGTACAGTATGAGCACAGGGATGAGCCAAATGTTGCAGCACCCAAACCAAAGCGGCGTGAACATGGCACATAACGCAGGCCAGGGAACGAGGCAGGCTGCCTCTGGACAAGCGGTGGGAATGGTCAGCAATTTTGGTCAGAACATGCTGGTAAATTCTGCTCTTCCCCAGCATCAGCAGCAGATGAAAGGACCAGTGGGCCAGGTCTTACCCAGGCCACAAGCACCACGGCTTCAAAACCTGATGGGGACTGTCCCTCAAGGAACACAGAACTGGCAGCAGCGAGGCTTACAAGGCATACCTGGAAGGACTAGCAGTGAAATGGGACCCTTCAATAACGGCACAACGTACCCGATGCAGTCTGGGCAGCCACGGCTGTCCAAGCAACACTTCCCACAGGGGCTTAATCAGACAGTTGTGGACACGAGTGGGACAGTAAGAGCCCTGAACCCAGCGATGGGGAGACAGTTGCTGCAACCACTGCCTGGGCAACAAGGAGCCAGCCAGGCCAGGCCAATGGTGATGCAGGCAATAAGCCAAGGGGTCCCCACGATGTCTGGCTTTAGCCAGCCTCCAACGCAGCAAATGCCAGGTGGTAACTTTGCTCAGAGCAGCCAAGGCCAGGCCTATGAGAGGAATCCCACTCAGGACATATCTTACAACTACAGTAATGAAGGAGCAGGGGGGTCATTCTCGAGTTTAGCAGAAGGCGCAGACCTTGTGGACTCCATCATTAAGAGTGGACCAGGGGATGAGTGGATACAAGAACTTGATGAGTTGTTTGGAAACCCCCAGTGAATGGGCTTGTATAGTCTGGAGCTTTGGTTGTTACGTTTGAAAACAGAAAAGAGAGAGAGCTGGATGTTCTCCCCATCCGTGGATTGTTGGTTTTTTGTTTGTATTGGTTTGGGGTTATTTTGTTTTGTTATTTTGTTTTTAATCATGCAAACTGAGCTGATCTGTAGCCAACTTGGGAAGATTCAAGTGACAATGAAAACACTGGCATCCCAAGACTTCCACCAAGTGATCTCTGTTGCGTGGCAGCACCTGCTGCCTGTGGGGGGGCAGGATGGGGAAACTGGAAAAGCCAGCTTATGCCTCTGGTTGGGAAAATTTGGAAAAAAAAAAGGCTTCATTGCACAGTGGTATGGGGTGGTCCTGATATCTCCCACCTTGTGTAGCTGGAAACACTGCAACTTTCAGGGGAGCAGATGGAAACAGCCGGGACCAAAGCCTAAAGATGTCCATGGGTGATTGCACAGGCCCTGGTGGGAAACAGGCTTAACCCCGGGGGTAAGCAGGTTTCAGTGACAGTCACAAGGAGGTCACCATTTTCACTGCAGAGTGATAAAAATCCAATAAAAGTGTAGGAGAACATAAATTTGGAAGCATGGTGAGGACAGTTTGATTATGGGACTGCTGCTGGAGACAGCTTAGGTGGGTGGGTTACCTTAATGAGCTATTTAGTCCCCTTGGGACTTGCGGTAGCCTTTCCCTGTCAGAGCACTTTGGTGTGGATCTGCTGCCCAGGGTGGAGAACAGCGGCTACGAATTATGTTAAAGGGCTCAGAGATACCAAGAGACATCAGAGGAGATGCAAAGCAGGTCCTTCCCTCTCCTTCCTCCTCAGTATGTTTTCAGGTCCCTGCCTTCCCCACCTGTCCTTCAGTGTAAAGCAAGGTAAGCTCACTGCACTTTTTTCAGGTGAGCAACAACCGCCACAAAGGGACAGGCAGGGGAGGAGAAAGCAGGTGTGAGAAAATGTACAGGGAGGGTTTGGCACGCAGAATGAGTTTCTTCTCTCCTCTTGAAAAGTGCAAGGTTGGCAGATAGCATTACCCCAGGGGGTTTGGGCTCTCGATGTGACATTATATACAACATGATCTTCAGTTTTAAACAGATGTTCGCTCTAATCTCTCTGGTTTGCTGGAATAAAATTCACTGCGGTATATGAAGAAGAGGAATCAATGAAGGACTACTGTAAAGATCATTCATGAATGGTTAAAATAATTGGTGTAGTTATTACAAACATGGGGTCTGCCCAAATAACCTTTTAGGTAATAGCGACATATCACTATCTCCACTGTGTGGACCAGTGCTAAGCAGTGCTGTAATGATGTTGCAATATGTCTTGCGCAATATTGAGACGCCAGCCATTCTGAATGTCTAAAGCAGCAGTTCCCAAGCTGCAGTCTGAGGCCAAGGTAAGCTGTCCTCTGAAACCTATCACCGTTTTAGTGTTTTCAGCCGAGAGCTGCTTATCAGGGTATATAGTGGTACATAAAAAAAGTTAACATGATCCACAGTCCAAAAAGTTTAGGAACCTCTGGCCTAACACTGGCCTCTGTGAGCCTTAAGATGAGGTCTGTAGCAAAAGTGTCTCCAGTGTACAACTGCCAGTCCCAGCAACTATCTAGCTGCAGATTACCTCCTCGTGCACAGCTCTCCTTGGGCCTGGTGATGCAAGGTGCTGAGCCACTGAAATCCACAGGAGCCAAGGGACATGGCACCTTGCATTTTGCATTTTCAAGGCCTGCCTTTCCCTGTGGAGCACTGGTATGTATCACATTAAGGAGTGGGAGCAAAATGGGCCTGGAACCATCTCAGCACCCCCGTTACAGTTCCCTTTTGTGCAGTAACCCCTTGCAGGGCTTACCTAGACGAAGGGAAATATCTGTTTTAAAAGCTATAATGTAGGCAGGACAAGCTGCATTTTTAACATGGACTAGCTGGTCAAGGTGAGCTATCAATCCAGCTTGGCCAGACTGCTATTTTTTACAAAATACTTTAGTTACATCTCTTTTAAGCTAACCCCTTTTTAAAACACAGCGCAAGGACCTATTCCAACTGAAGACTATAGGGGTTTGCCAGTCCGCTGCTTTGGTAGGAGCCAGGTTGGGCCCTAATTCAGTGGAAGCAAGCACTGGACAAAGTTTTCGGGCTGTCTCATGGGTAAGTGGCTCTTGGTCAGACTCGCCTGAGCAGAAGGGAGAAGCAAACGGCAAGAAAAATGGTACCCTGAAGGGAGAAGGGCATTGTGTGTATGCCCACGTCTGTGTGAGCGTGTGTCTGACAGAGGCATGCCGGGACAAGGAGGCAGCAAGCCTGCTGCGCAGGGGACGGCACTGGGGATGGTGCAGCACCCCCTTCTCGAGTGCAAGCGA